ATCGTTTACTTATCCGGCCCTATTTAACTTGAAGTTAGAGTCGACAGTAAGGGGAAGTGGCGAGAAGGGGCAAAACTTTATAATTTACTTGTTAGATTACTGTTTCATTTAGAAAACGTTTTCAGACCCTTCCACTCTAAGTGGAGAAGAATGCTGTAATTGGCATGTCGGTGAAAAGAAAGCTGGTGGTAAATTTATTAAAATATCCAAATAAGTTTTTCGATAAGTTAGCGAAGAGATCTCTCAGTTTCCCAGCCGGTCTAAATTATAAGTTTCAGCAAAAAGTTTCATAAAGGTTAATGAAGTCACTCTTTGTAGTCAGTATTTGCTTCTCGATTTTTAATTGCACATAATGTCAAGTCACTAATCAAATGAGTCCAAAGTTAATTATAACTTGTAAAAGAATGAGGAAACATTTTTCACAGGAGATCTAGCTGTATACGATTTTATTTGAATCGATACACTATTTTCAATGCGTGATGACAATCTTTTTTACTTTTGAGGTTGTATTCTTATCAAGCAGTGAGAAAAGGTATACGATAGGCAAAACACGTACCATTGGCGGTTTTGATGCGTCTTTTGAACTTTGTAGGTTCCGTTTGGTTGACAAGGTAATAATTTCCATAAATAAAGCAAGATTTGATAAAATTGTGTGTTTTTGCATTTAGATAGCTTTAACAAGACATACTCCTTAAAATAAACTAATTGTTTGAAGTTTTTGTCACTAATTAAATATCCAGAAAAAGGCAGAAGTGGGTGCTAGATGCAAATATATGGTGTAAATGGGTGTGGGTAGTTTAGGCAAGGTTACTAGGGCCTTTGGACACTTTTTACGCGTGGTAACAAGAAGATCAATATTTGCTAAGCTTTAAAATGATACCAAAAACAGCTCACCAGAGGGTTGGGGGGGGGGGTGCAGCCAACTTCCCACAAACCGGATTGGCCACTAGACTCAGCTTGCAAGTTGTTCAGTTTAATGTAGCTTATCTCAACATGGGAGAGAAAAATAATAAGACTAGTCAATGTAAAAGACCACCTGATACTTTTGTTTCTTTTGTCTTGTCTTTCTTTTGTGTAATAAATCAAGGCTTAACTCAACAAGAGCATAAAGAATGGTATCCGGTGTTCTTATGCCCACGGTCGTTTCGTACCTAAATGCAGTTGATTTCAACATAAGTTTGAGTCGGTTCGTATCCAAATCGCTGATCGATTCTTACTCGCCCAAAATATTCATTTATTCGAAATACCTCATGAACGAGCAAGTGAACAGATGACAACTGTTACCTAAAACAAGTTAGGATCACTTATCCCTTGGAGGTGATGCTTTTGTTCCTTTTCTCTATTCTTCCTTTTTTGTACTACCTCAATTGATTTGTGTACTGACTCTCAAAAACATGTTTTGTT